CCCAAAAATATCCCTTGTTCCCTGGAAATAAATTATCATATTCCCTTGTTCCCCAAAATCCCTGGGAGGCCCTCCTTAGTTCTAATAAAGGATATTTAAGAAAGCAATCTCGATGAAGACTCAGATCAACGCATAACATCATCAAGCTTTCTTCTTTTTCTGAGCTTTAATATGAACTACAGGCTTTATAGTACAGCCAAAAATACTACCAAAATAAAGCAAAAATAGACCCTTCTATGATTTTTAAGAGCATCTGTGACAGCAGGAGGAATGCAGCAAACATTACAGTTTTAACTCGGCTTGGAGGTGTAGGATTTTCACAAGCTGTTTTGCAAAGGTGTATCACTCATGTGTATCAGGAAATGATCAGATATTACAAAATATAACACCTGTGTGAGTGTTGACTGCTTTGGAGATCTCTGGCGTGGGTCTAATCTAATTGCAAATTTTAATAAGAAGGGTATGTAAGAACGTTTACATTTTTCTTAAAGATTTCTCCAAATATATCATTCAAGGGGTATGTTTCTTACGATACAGTAACTAAAAGTCTGGCAAAAACCTGTAAATTTACTGTTGTTTTGATTTCCTCTCAATCAATGATGGCACCCAAAAATCGTAGAAGGATCTATTCCAACGCTTCAAAGAAAAAGACTAAGAATTTCGTGATAAGATGTGAAAAGTGCGAAACGACGCTTACATCAATACTACTAAGATATCGTCAGTCCGGGTTCCAAGCTTGCTTTTGTCAAATCCATGTTTATCCACTGCTCGTGGTCTTGCCACGCATCTTACATGGAGTAACTGATAGGCTTGCCTTGAGCATCATGGCTGAAAGGGCAGGCATAGGCGTTGAAAGGACAATTACCCAGCTTCCCCTGCGCAGTCGTGGTGACTGCAAGAAGCTCCTTGAAAAACGTCGCCGCAGCTTCTTTTCCCTTGGTGCTGTCCTTCATCTGATCTCGCATTTGAGTCAGCTTCTCCACGAACTCGCCCACGCTCTTGCAGTTCTTGAATGGGCAGCCCTCTTTGAAAGCAGGGCAGTTACCAGCCAAGCCTTTGCACTTGGTGACAAGGATAGCGTATGGACACACACCTTTGCCAAATGCTGGACACTTGAACATCGTGTCGTTCAAGGTGACGCTATAAGGGGCCTTATGGTGAATAGAACAAAATAAATTACAAATTGAAAAAATTATGATCAGGTACGTAAACGTTTTTGTAATAGACCACATTCGTATTCTCGGTATTGGATTGGAACTAGCTCGCAAGGGAGGTCTAATGCGGGGAATATCATTAAAAAGAGATTAATGTCAATTGCATTTGAAAAACTACTAAAAATAAACTTGTTCAATTGACTAACGTTTAAATTTTTGAAGCATACGAGAAACATACCACTAGAGACTTCATTTTTAGGTGTACATATTTTGTCACCTTGGCCTACATATGCATGTATCTGACGTATTTATTTATTTATTTATTTTTTATTTATTCATTTATTTAACAAATGAAATCTCTATTTCTTTATTGACTATTCATGTCTGAAGTGATATGTTAGTTTTGAAGTGATCTTTACATTGCTCAATTAAATTTTTCGTGACGAAAATTTGTACAGTGATCTTCGTTACGTACCGCACAAAATTGTTCACTCAAATGTCATTTAGGGAATCGTAAATGAAACAAACATACCACAATGTAGTCAGGAGATAATATAGCCTTTCCACTGGTGTCTTTGGCGAAGGGGCAGCCACCCTTAGTCTGAAAGAAAGGGCAAGCAGATCCAATATCGACCTCCTTATCTTTGGCAGTGCGGTGAATCTCACGGAGATACTGGAGAGAAGTGGAATTAGCGCTCGGCGAGTTTTTGTGCCTCTCACGCATCTCGCCTAACTTGTCTTCAAACTCTCCAACGGTCATGCAACCTGCAAACGGACATTCTTTCGCAAAGGCAGGACACTTTCCAGCCGCACCTTTCACCGCTAGCTTGGCAAATGGGCAGACCTTGTCCCCAAAGGTTGGACAATCGCGTTTGATTTCATCGCGTGTTACCGAGCCTGGATACTAAAAAGAGAAAAATAACTATAAGTTTCGCAGTGTGTGAGCTATGCGTATAAAAGAGACAATGGGGAATTTAGCCGTATTTCAATTTTACATCCATTTTAATTTTAAGTATTCAGAGTTATCATTTTCTTATGTCTATTCTAAGTTTAGAAATTCGTTTCGATGACGACTATTACTTGTGACTACAAAAGATATTCAGTAGATTAAAAAAAATGCTTTAACATTCCACGCTTAAGGTGACTCGACACAGGTTTCGTCTGCGACCATGCAGAACATTTTCAAACGCCAGGCTTCCCTAGCCTCTATCGGATCAATGCAAAGGCCACAACACTGAGTCAATAGAAATTAAAGTTGATATATAGTTTAGTTGTTTTCATTTTCGAGGGGGCGGGTAAGAGGGTGGTCACAAGCAATTAGTTTTTTTTTTTAATTGTCCACTGATCAGTGACTGATACAAAGAACTTTAAAATATGCATAAAATCAAGAATATATTTTTGGTATTGTCGATCGACATCAGCCGCCACGGTTCAAGCATACCTTATGAATAAATGAATAGAAAAGTTATGAGTAAGGGTTCCTCTTGACCATAAATAAGAAATAGGTGGTTGCACTAATAATATCAAGATATTATTTAGTCTGGTTTCTTACACAAGGGCTAACTGTATTGTGCTGACTAAAATCAAAGTAGGCAATGCAAGCAGTTACAGGGCCGTCGCCAGAAAAAAATTATGACTCAGGCAATGTTTTTGGTTAAATTCTCTTCGTAGATATTTAGTGTGTTTATGATGATTTTTAACAACAAAAACGAACCAAATGACTGAGGCAAGTGC